CCTCGCTCAGCCAGTGAGCGGGAACCGGTCTGTATGTGGGATCCGAACCCTCGCCAGGAGCGCCGCCGCGCCTCCCAAGCGGCGCACTTATCCAGTGTGCCACCGGGCCGGCCCTGCCCCATTTCTTTTAATAATTTTTTATTATCAAGGTTATAACATGGATATCCACGGAGTAATCATAATGATTCTTGAGTAGCCTCACCTTCTGAAGCACATAGTGCTAATACAGATATGAAGAGTGGAAGGGTCGATGAGTTATTCCCATGTGTGCAGTTTTCCGGGAATCACGGTCAATCGGCTGGCAAATCAGAGCTGAGAGTAGCTCTGTTTGTTTCTCTCTCTCCTGTCTTACTTGCATAAGTCCTGTAGGCAGGAGCTCAGACAGGGCAAGCATCTCTAGAGATGTGAATAGGCAGGAGGAGATAAAACAAAAGCAAGTGGTTAGGAGTGCATCTGCCCAGACACAGCCCTATTATAGACATGAGAGCAAGAGAAGTACTCGAGTTTGGCTCTAGTGTGTATTAATTTCTGTTTCCTATATGGAGTAATGTAAACTATCAGTATATATTGACCACAGTATCTTAGACATGGCAGAAACCATAGTGGTCATCTGCTTCATGTACTGGCCATCCCTGTGAGACGGTCCTCCAGGCTCAGCTCCTTGGGACGATGTCAGCATCTTCCATTGTTGAGGAGGAATAACTGTTGAAAAGATCTTCTTAATGAGTTGAGTCCTCTTTTCCTGTGATTTGTAGCCTGTAGTTCTGCTTATACCTTCGTCATGCAAGAAGCTTCATCTTGTTCACTGTATCCGGACACTGCCATCATGTCTACACGTAGTCTTATCCCTGCTTTCTTCAGTTGATCCTCACAGGACCTGGTTGCCAGAACCTTCATTATTTTGCTTGCACCGCCCTAGGTGGGTCATGCATTTGCTGAATCCTAGCATGGATGTGTGGGCTTAGAATGTCCCTTAATCTGCAGCCCAAAGTTATGTGAGCTTTCTGAGGAGTTTTAGCACGTTGCTTGTTTGACAGCATAGATTTTTGTTTCTGACTTGACCTAACTAAAGACTGGGTTGTAAATTTAGCACATGGCTTCTGGATTGCTTATTCATAAGAGACATCCTGAAATGATAGACAGGATTTCTCTGCAAATGAGGTGAATAATTCACATAGAGGAAATTCCATTTGGGCTTTTACCTTGTAGAAATTACCTGTTGTTGCATAAAAAATGTTGTTAGACAGAGAGGTCTTTTTTCTATGTGATTCTCACTGAGAAGCAGAATCTACCAGTCTTAAAGAAGGACATTCTGAATGCTAACTTCATCCTATTCCATGTGATTCCCACCAGTGTGGCCTTTTGGTATGGGGGATATAAAATCCTTCCTCCATCTTCTTTTCCACTTGGTGCTTCCTACATCCAGGTGAGACCTTGTGTTCAGTGGCCTCTTGGGTGAGAGCCCTGAGTATGGTCACAAGGATCTCTCAGGTAGTTTCTGCCTGCACGATGAAGCCTCTTCATAGTTACATGACTGAAGGAGCATAGGTGGAACTTTGTGCCTTGTTGTAACCATGACTTCACCCCTCATAGCTTATACTGTGTAAACCCAGTTTTGAGATGAACACCCAGTGTCATGGTACCATCTATACTGCCATTTATTTCATCAATTTGGATGGCTTGTGCTGCTCTTGGCTGTGGACCCGCACAAACAAAGCCATGGGATGAAGCAGTCTGAATCGTGTAATGAAAGCCTTGTACCTTTTTGGAGGCCTGGTAGAGAGGAATGATTTATTTTCACCCTACCAAATAAAACATTCTAGGAATCTAAGGTGAAAATTGGATTTTAACTGCCACTAACATTTTGAGCATATAAAATCAGCAAGTGTTGAGTGTTTTGCTCGATTAAGAGAAGAATCTAAAGAGTCTGGTACAAGACTGATCTGCATATAATGTGGACTGGTGTTGTACTATCTAGCTGATTTATAAAACTCGAAATAAACATTAAGCACATTTTGGCAGTCAGATTGCAGCAGTGGAGACCTCTGTGTTTTTAGCACAATTATTTTGTTCCCAGTCTTATGCCTGGATCACTGTTCCCCCTTCCTCCTCCTGTCCTTCATATTTTAGCTTTAAGCCTTTTGTGATTAAGCTCAAGGAGTCTTGGAACTACCTGACTCCAGCCCAGACTCTGGGCCTCACCTCTCTCAGGTTCCCATTTGTTCTCCTGTTGATTCTCTCTCTCTCTCTCACACACACACACACACTCTCTCTCTCACACACACACACACTCTCTCTCACTTTCTCACTTCCTCTTTGCATGTGTGTTTCTCCCTTTCTCTGTTTCTCTGACCACCTCCCTACCTGTTTAACATGATGTTGTCCAGTGTTCTTGCCATATCTGAGACTGTTTGCTCAGGGCCCTTGTGAACTTCCAGTGCTGGGGGCTTTCCCTGCATAGCAGGTAGTAAAACCCCTAACTGAGAGCTCTGTCTCCAGAGGGACGTACCCAAGCCAGTGCTTGGTATCAGACACACATTGGTCACTCAGTAAATGTTCATCCAGTTGGGTTGTTTTCCAGGTTTCATGAGATGTGATGATTGTTGGGCTTCACAACTTACACTAGGACTTTTATCATCCCCAGGATTATGTGTCCTTCAAGGTTCATCTATAAAAAGCAATTATTTTTTGTACGCCTGCTTTTACCTAGCTCAAAATGTCTTTAACACCAGCTTTTATTTCAGGGAAATCCACTTTGTCCTGTAGAGCCATTTCCTGTTGCATCTTGTACTTTTGAGTGGCATTAGTCTAACCAGTTGGATTGACAGAGCATCCACAATTTACTTCACTCATATGCTTTCTACTTCCTGGGGAATCCAACAGTAAGGACCTCAGATGGGACATCTGGACAGGAGCTTTTATCTATAATAATAGTTAATGATAATGGTAATGATAGCTGATAGTATGTGTCAGGCATAAGGCTCAGCATTGTACTCACGCACGCTTTCCCTTTCATTTTTCATGACCCAGTGAGAAAGTTACTACCATGTACTCTATGTTATGGGTATGAAAATTAGTCTAAGATAATGCACGTAAGAAGTCCTAGAGCCAGAATTCATACCCAGGCCTCTTTAACTCTTGAGTCATATTTCTAGCCACTATCATGTACTGCTTTTGGACAGCACACAACATCCTGATGAAATCATTAAACTCTATAAAAATGTAAGGTCATCAAAGCTATGCTGTAGCTAAACCTTCATTAACTGTGCTGGGTCTTCTCTGGTTTGGTTTTGTTGTACAATTTGGATATGGAGTCACTTAGAGCTTCAGTCAGAATGCTGCATGCCTGCACCCTGCGGGAAACAAACGCTGCCCCTGGAGGACTGCCAAGTGACTGGTGTCTACTACCTGTAGCCCTTCTGAGGGTCACCACCTGCCTGGACTTCCTGTCACCACGCTCTGCTCACTACCCTGGGCGTGTATGCTCATTTCCATTGGTTTTCATGTAGCCATTGCTTGTCTAGTTGGACCACAACTGGTCTGTTTCTTAGCTCCTTAGGTTGTTTATTCCTTGCTGTGTTCATTCATTCAGCATTTATTGAGCGTTTGCAAAGTGTACTATGTAATAAAGATAAATAACTTACATGTGCATTTAATTAAAATGTACAGCAGAGGCAGTGGAACCGTGTAGAAAGTACTGTGGAGTAAAGAGGAGGAAGAAGCTCACTGAAACAGGAGACGGGAGGCTTCAGAGTGACAGTTCTTCAGAGCTGGGTCTCATGGGAGGAATAAAGTCTGTCTGGGGAAAGAAAAAAGGAGAAGACATTCCAGGGAGAGGAAGCAGCTTTTGAAAAGACACAGCTTGTTAAGAAAATAAAGAGTTCTTTGGTGTGCCTGAAGGATAGATGTAGAGAGATGGAGGGGGACAAGGATTGACTAGGACAGGAATAGAAAGGACCTAATATATTATGGTAGGGAGTGTGCAGTTTTTAAACAATGGAGAGTCACTGAAGGTTTCTATTCAGTAGACTAACGTGATCAGATTTGTCTTTGGAAAGATGACTATGGAAACTGGAGGATTTTGTAGTGGTTGAGGCAGAGGAAGGCAGTGTGAGCCCTTGGATACTCTGTATTTGTGCATGAGACAAAGATATGGGGTGTGGGCTTAGCCTGCACAGGAGGGACGGAGAGTGAGGTGGCCCTCCTTCAACTGGCCTTTGGATCAGTAGACAGGGCAGGATCTATTTTCCTAGGCTCTTGCCCACTCCATTGAGTTGGTTTTAACATTTGACAACTAGTGCTACTGCAGTAGCCTCTAAGCCCTGCACTTCTGCTTGCTCAGGCTGGTCTTGCTTAAACCTGCCAGCACCTTCCTAGCTTGGCTGACTTCCCTGGGTCAGACTGCCTGGCGGCTTGGATCCTTCGTCTCTACCAGAGCTGATCTGGCTCAGCCAAGATTATTTCTTGTAGCATCATCTCCTCTCCTGTCCCTGCTCAGGCCTTAGGATTATAGGAAGACCAGAAGCCCCTTGTAGGTGGGACCTGTGCCACATTCTTAAGTTTTACACATACACCACACCCTTATAGCTCTGTAGCCTGATGATTCACAGGAGAGATTTAAACAGACAGTTACAACTAAAATTTTAAAAGTTTATATTGACCTTTTAAATTGTGAGATTCTTATTAAGAACAAAAATGACATCGAGAACTTAAATTTTATAAAGTGCTCTGAGCAGTGACAGATTTTCATAGGAATCTACAAATGCCGAGGAGCTCTTATTTGGAAATGTGCTTGTTCACTTTAGTGTTGTATTGATTCTGTCCTGGTAATTTTTTTTCAAAGTTTTATAGTTTTTTTTTTCTTTCTCTAATTGTGTCGATAACAAGGGAACTGTTTTATAACGTGACTGTGAAGCACAGCAGTGCTCTAGAGCTGAGCATCCTGCACTCAGTTAACCTTCATATTTCACACCTAATCATTGCAGTGTGGCAAAGCTCTCCCTGGCCTTTCAAAGCAAGAAGACTGCTGTGGAACCGTGGGTACCTCCTGGGGCTTTAACAAATGCCAGAAATGCCCCAAGAAGCCATGTAAGTGATGTTTCATCATTCCTTTGCAGGTCAATGTAGCATATCTGTTTCTTATGATTGTCCTTTTAATGATGAGGCAACATTCGACTTTCAAAGAACCCCCTTACTGAATTTGAAACCTTGAAAGTCTGATAAAGTTTTCATATGGATTCTGTTTTTTAATAAATATAGTTATCAATTGCCTTCTGTAGTTAAATTATTTAGGGGAGAAAAAGAGGCAATGAGCTAAAATAGGCTCTTTTGTCTTGGGAAGAGAAAATCAAATATCTTTTAAAATGGTAAGTAAATGTTTTGAACCCTATGGACAGTGAGCGTAGTTGGTATTTCTTAGGTTAAATTGCTTAAATGTAAGTTTTGTTCATATCCATTTTGTAGTTTGTGTTATACTATAGTATTTCAAATTTCATTAAAGGAAAAGCTAAAATGGGGAAATGATTGGTTGGCTAGTCTGTAAAAGAGAAATTTATATCACTAGGACACAATACTCCCCCCTCCCTTTTTTTTTTTTTTTTTTTTTTTGGCAGCTGTCCAGTATGGGGATCCGAACCCTTGACCTTGATGTTACAACACTGCACTTGAACCCACTGAGCTAATTGGCCAGCCCTACCCTTTTTTCTTAGCTCTGGTCTTATACTGTTCCATTCCTCAGTGACACCAGACTGTATTCACACCCACATGCTTTGATTTGTCTTTGAAGTGTCTTTCAGAACCTGTTGTATAAATCCAGGTTTCCACCTTTCTGTTATTCTCTTCCCAACACTGGTTTTTATTTTTAGTTTTTGAATGTGGCGTTAACTCTGGATGACTGATTGCTAATAAGAACTTTTTAAGTCGAGCTTTCTTCCCCTCACTGATCATGTTTTCACTAAGAGAGCAAGTGATTTTTTTCTCGATCATCTTGTTTTGCCTCATATAACTGAAGATTTTTATAATTGTCTTTATTCTGCAAGGAATTTCTCATTTGCATCAATTGGATAATTTACTCTTCTCGAGTATCTGTTGATTTGATTGAACAGAGAGATTTAAAAGGCAGTTGAGAATATCAATCTAGAATCTTCTCTCTTGGAATTACCACGTCATCTTTCTTATATCCTATTTGTTCTTCTTCCAGGATAATAATTTGTCTTAAATAATTGCCTCTCATTTGGACTTCCTTGTTTTCCAAACCTACAGATTCTCTAAATGCCTAAAGCTAATTTTGTTTATTTTGTTGATACTCCTTTTACCTTCTTTGAGAGGACAAATTTGTTGAAATGCTCAGTAAAGTTTCTAATAATTAATGAGTTCTTCCTTTAGGAAAAATCCACATAAATAAGGACATTCAGTACTGAGAAAACATCCCAAGTAGACTTTCTAAGCTGATTCAATAATGATTTGCAATGTGGATTTCCAGGAAGTAGGTTGAATGTGGTGGTCCCTCTTTGCTGGAAGGTCCATTTGCCTAAAATTATTTTGACAACCTGACCAAATGGATATCTAGGATACATTTGGTATGATTTAAAGAGCATGGTGTTTGGAATTAGGTAAACCTGAGTTTGACTCCCAGTTTTGTCATTTGGTATTGAGTCTTACGGATCATTTAACAGGAAATCTATATGTAAATGTTGAAAAAGCATTGCCACTTTTTTTTTTTTTTTAAAGCTGCCTACACTTCACTCACCGTGTATGTTTGTCTGTAGGAATATTGGAGAGGATACGTTTCCCACTGTTAGGTTTAAGGGCTGGGAATGAGGGAAGTTAGGCTCCTAAAACTTTGTCTTTGGCCTTTATACTTTCTCCATATTCTTCCTTATTTTCCTTTTTCATTAACCCCCTTCTTTGCTTGTCTTTGCATTTGCTGCTTCTCTTTCCTCCCTTTTTCTAATCCCATAGTAGCAGGAGAGTACAGATGTTAGGTATCCAGGAACTCAGATGGTCTTTCTTTTTCATTTTTTAAGTTCCTAACTTCCACTCATGAACTTTAGTCATTTTTATATAAAATTGCATCATCTGGGGATGAATTTGCAGCTTTATATGGTTTCATTAGTTCTGTATTTTAATTTTGATAATGATTTAAGTTGAGTGTGAAAGTACAAAGTTGCTCTCACTTTTAACTAAAT